AAAGAAAGAAAGAAAGAAAGAAAGAAAGAAAGAAAGAAAGAAAGAAAACCACAGGCAGATGAAATCTTTTACAGGAACCTTTGCTAAGTGGCTTTCCTCTGACTTGACTGCAAGACCAGCAGTTTCCATGGACACCCACGATGAATCTCCGATTGCCCTGCCAAGTTGAGACAGGAGCCTCCTGCTTTCCCCCCCCCCCCTTCGTCAACTTACTTTGGCTTCAGTCTCCCCGCGGTGTAATGTGTACAAATGATGGACGGCGCTTTGAGAAGATGACCAGGGGTGGGTAAGGATTTTGAAGATGTGGAAATCATGGCCCAGGGTGTCTGCCGTGACCAGGAGCATGCCTGAAGGGAAAATAAAGAGAGAAAGGGGGACACGTGAGAGATAAAGCATGGTGTGGGCCTTGTTGTTGTGGAGTGAGATGCCAGGAACGTAGGGTTCAGTTCCATCTCTCTCCTATGTCTGGAAAAAAAAAAGGAACATGAACAAAAATCTACTTTCAAATCATTGGCACGAGGTTATTTTTATATATAATACGGTATTAAAAAAGTTATTATCATTCCATTGTTCATATGGGAGGTAGTCCTCTGCTTATGACCACAATTGAAGACAAACATTTCTGTGACTAAGCCATTAAGTGAATTTTGCCCCACTTTATGACCTTCCTTGCTACAGCTGTTAGGCAAATCACTGCAGTTAGTAACATGGTTGTTAAGAGAGTAGAGTAGAGTAGAATAATGGAATGTGAAACCAGAAATGAGTAGAGGTAGAATAGAATAAAGAATAGAATAGGAGTTGGAAGGGAGCTTGGAGGTCTTCTAGTCCAACCCCTTGCTCAGGCAGGAAACCCTATACCATTTCAGACAAGTGGCGGTCCAGTCTCTTCTTAAAAACCTCCAGTGTTGGAGCACTCTCACTACTTCTGGAGGCAAGTCACTCCACTTTTTAATTGTTCTTACTGTCAGGAAATTTCTCTTTAGTTCTAGGTTGCTTCTCTCCTTGGTTACTTTGTTCTGCCTTCTGGTGTTTTGGAAAATAGCTTGACCCCCCCCTCTTCTTTATGGCAACCCTGAGAAATTGGAGCATTGCTATCATGTCACCCTTTGTCCTTGTTTTCATTAAACTAGCCGTGCCCAGTTCCTGCAACCGTTCTTTGTATGTTTTAGCCTCCAGTCCCCTAATCCTCTTTGTTGCTCTTCTCTGCACTCTTTCTAGAGTCTCAACATCTCCCCACCCCCCAATCTGTCTTCCCTTTTGACTTGGCTTGTGAGAAGGTCACAAAAGATAAACACACGACCCCGGGACATTGCAACCCTTACATACATGACAGTTGTCAAGCATTTGAATTTTGACCATGCTGCAACGGTTGCAGTGGGAAAATAGTCCTAAGTCACTTTTTCCAGTGCCGTTGTAACCAAACAGTCACTAAAAGAACGGCTGTAAGTCAAGGCTGTAGAGTATCCTCAGGAGAACTTTCTGCAGCATATAACAATGGAGGGAATAACCAAGAAACCTCCTTTGTTTGCAAATCGTTGGAAATCAGGAGCTACGTGCACATTGCTATTATCTTCTGCTCAACTTGCTCGAAGGAGAGATCCTTCCCTTCATCTCATTTATGATGTATATTTTACTCAGAAGTTAAGAGCCATTATGTTAAATGAGCTTCTCCCCAGTAAAAGAATGCTGGGGGAAAAAACACCCTAATAAAGCTGATTTAAAGCTCGCAGGCCTCACTTCTTTTGTGAAGGGAATGAAGTGGGAGTACAAGAGAAGAAATAGCACACCCATTAGACTTTCATAAAATGTGAAAGCTGCAAACACAGAAAGCTTTGTAGATGATTTATTGGCCAGAGTCCTGTACAGCTCCATCCTGCAGCCAAGACTGACTTTTTTTTTTTTTTTTAAAGAATCATGGCTTGGAAGCACATCTCCAGGCTACCTGAGCAAGGACAGCTGGATGTCTTCAGACGAACTTGGACTACAGCTCCCATAAACTCCAGTTGAAAAAGCCACAGCCATGGAAGCCAAGGGTTTTTTGAAGTAAATCCAAGAACTTCCTCAATAACATCCATCATGATAGGCAAGTTAGTCAGAGGAACACTGCATAGCAGTGCCTGTTAGGGAAGTTTGGAGATTTCTTGTTATTTATTCAAAAGTAACCATATAATAGAATTGGAAGGTACCTTGAAGGTCTTCTAGTCCAACCCCCCTGCTCAGGCAGGAAATCTTCTACCACTTCAGACAAATTGTTGTCCAATCTCTTCTTAAAAACCTCCAGTGTTGAAGCACCCACAACTTCTAGAGGCAAGTTGTACGACTGGTTAATTGTTCTGTCAGGAAGTTTCCCCTTAGTTCTAGGTTGCTTCACTCCTTGGTTAATTTCCAAGGACCAGGGGTGACAGGATAGCAGTCTTCCAATATCTGAAGGGCTCCTACAAAGAAGTGGGGATGAAACTATTCTCCAAAGCACCTGAAGGCAGGACAGGAAACAATGGATGGAAACTAATCAAGGAGAGAACCCATGCAAAACTAAGGAGAAATTTCCTGACAGTGGAACAATAAACCAGTGGAACAGAAGTTGCCTTCTGAAGTTGTGAGTGCTCCATCACTAGAGGATTTCAAAACGAGACTGGACAACAATTTGTCTGAAATGGGTCGAACAGTGGGGCAGTGGATCGAACTAGAAGACCTCCAAGGTCCCTTTCAACTCTAGTATTCTATGTTCCGTGTTCTATGAACATTACCTGCCCTCTCCAACCCATACCAAAATTCACAAGGATACTTAAGAATCTTCTATAAAGTGCAGGCTTTCCATGATGGACCAGGCAATGAAGAAAGGACAGACATGAAGTGGAGACTTTGTAAATGGCCGACGGTAGAAATTTTATGCAATGAGCTAGCCCGGGAATAATTATCACATCGTACCCACACACCGATGCAACCAGTTAATGAAGTATGTTCCTTCATTACTGCCAAGGGGTTTGGTGATTCTGCCAAGATGTGCTGCTTCTTTTTACCCGTTGGTAAACCATAGGAAGTTTGTCTGGGCATTAACTTTCCATTTGCAAAGTGCTTCACGCTGAGTTTGGCAGGCCATTTAAAAACTGCACCCTCTCCAGGGCCGCCTTGCTGGAATGCCACCCACCAGGCAGGCGTTTGAGTTCTTCAAAAAAAAAATTATTTTTTATTTTTTTAAAAAAGATCATGTCCATATGGGCACAAGTTTAGCTTTGACTTAAGCAAAGTGACAGAAAACCCGGTGAAAAACATTTTGGGGACAGGACATTCGATGTCCTTCAAAATAGGATTAAAAATAGGGGGAAATTTCTAGCCAGAAGAATTTGAGAATGTCTGACAATTCCAAACCTGTTTTGCAACTAAAATATTACGACTGAATGATATAATATCAATGTCAAATTATTTCCCAAAGGTTTTTTTTCTCATTCCCATTGTGACAATCTTCATAGTGTACAGGTAGTCCTCAACTTATGACCACAATTGAGCCCTAAGTTGGTAAGCAAGACAGTTGGTTAAGTGAGTTTTTCCCCATTTTACGACCTCTCTTGCCACATTTTTACATGAATCACGGCAGGTTAGTATTTAGTTTACTTTATTGTCATTGCAACTCGTACAACAAAATTAAATGCCATCTTCAGTATACATTGTAACTATAAAAATAAAACACAAAAACATCCTTCACATTTTATACAATTGAATTGAAAATCCCTGATATTGCATTCATATTGCACTATACAGTAGAGTTCAACAGAGCTACTGCCCTGGAATAGAAGCTGTTTTTTCAGCCTATTTGTCCTTGTTTTTATTATTCTGTACCGCCTGCCAGATGGTAATAGTTCAAAAAAAGGGTGCCCAGGATGAGATGGATCTTTGAGAAAGTTTTGAACTTTCCTAAGGCAGCGGGAGCTATAAAGCTCTTCCAAAGAGGGCAGAGGGCAACCAATGATCTTCTGGGCAACGACTTTAACCCTCTGGAGTGCTGTCCTATCTGCCACTGTGCAATTGGCAAACCATACAGAGGTGCAGTAAGTTAAGATACTTGTTGTTCAGTCACTAACAAGGTTGTTAAGTGAATCTGGCTTCCCTGTTGACTTTGTTTGTCACAAGGTCACAAAAGGAGATCACGTGACCCTGGGATACTTTTCTTGCCACATGTGTTTAGTGAATCATGGCCTTTCTTAAATTAGTGACATGGCTGTTAAGTGAATCTGGTTTCCCCATTGACTTTGCTTGTCAGAAGGTCGTAAGAGGCGAATCATGTGATCCCAGGGCTGCAACCGTCATAAATATGAGTCCATTGTCAAGCATCTGAATTTTGATCATGTGACCACCGGGATGCTGCAATGGTTGTAGGTGTGAAAAACGGTCATGAGTCACTTTTTTAGTGCCACTGTTAACTTCAAACAGTCACTAAACAAATGGTTGTTAAGTCAAGGATGTTACCTAAAACAATGGTACCAACCTGTCTTCCATGGAAGACCTGTATACTGCACGAGTCAAAAAGAGGCCTGTGAAAATATCTACAGACCCCTCACATCCTGGACATAAACTGTTTTAACTCCTTCCCTCAAAACGACGGTATAGAGCCCTGCACACCAGAACAACTAGACACAAGGACAGTTTTTCCCGAACGCCATCACTCTGCTAAACAAGTAATTCCCTCAACATTGTACAACTATTTACAAAGTCTGCACTACTATTACTGTTAATCTTCTCACCGCTCCTTATCACCCATCCCCTCCCACTTGTGACTGTATGACTGTAACTTTGTCGCTTGTATCCTTACGACCTATATTGACTGTTTCCTAGTATGATTTGATTGCTTATTATTGTACCCTATGACTATTATTAAGTGTTATACCTTATGATTCTGGACTCTTGACAAATGTATCTTTTCTTTTATGTATACTGAGAGCATTTGCACCAAAACAAATTCCTTGTGTGTCTCCAATCACATTTGGCCAAAAAAAGAATTCTATTCTATTCTGTTCTGTTCTGTTCTATTCTAATTCCTATTCTATTCTATTCTATTGCTACGAAACTGCCTTCCATTGAGGACCTGTATACTGCACGAGTCAAAAAACGGGCTGTGAAAGTATCTACAGATCCCTCAAATCCTGGACATAAATTATTTCAACTTCTACCCTCAAAATGAGATTGTAGAGCATTGCACACAAGAACAACTAGACACAAGGACAGTTTTTCCCCCGCATGCCATCACTCTTGCTAAACAACTAATTCCCACAACACTGTCAAACTATTTACAAACACTGTATTACTATTATTCTTCTCATCCTTCCTATTACCTATCTCTCCTTTCCTACTT